ATATATAAGACAGTAAGAGTTGCCTCATATTAATGGAAACTGGGATTTGGGATGCGAAAAAGACCAAGTTTTCATTATTACAAACCTTTTGGTGCTTTTTGAAGATTTTTTTATACTACGTGACTGCAAGGCTTTGATAAAAATGATTTTTGAAAATGATTTAACATTGCCTTTTCTTTTACCAGACCAAATGTTGTTGCTCTTAACTCCCAGAGCTCTGCCCTGTCAACACCGGCACCCGACACATGTGCCTTCCCTCTCCCTGACAGCAGCTATCAGCTCACTCTGTAAATAACCACTTGCTCTTCCTCAAGGATGTTTTTCCTGACGCCCTGGTGACAAGCACAGACCGCCACGGGCATGTGTTACATACCTGGTCTTGTTTTCCCCAGATGATCTGCGTTGGGACCTTGATCTTGTCCATGTTCTGATGGAGAGAGTATCTGGACTTCTCACTGACGATTTCCAAAAACACTTGCAGAAAAGGAAAACAAAGTGAGCATGTAGCATGTGCTTGACTGTGCCTCTGGCACCCCTGTAGGGTCATGGGATAGTCACTGGGTCCAGGTCACCACTTCCTCTCTTCAGGGGCCCACGGAGACATTCACAGTGTCAGAGATTTAAGAAATAAAAGCCATCCACCCACAGAGCTCCAGGCTGAAAGCAGGGCTACTTACGCTTTCGGTAGAAGTTGTTATGAGGGATGCGGACGTCAACAAGGCCTTGCAGGATCTAAGGATAAAGAACCCAGCATTAGAAAGCAAGAGAAGACTCATTTGCTCAGGCCTCTCATAGCTCTGGGACAATGAATGAGAATGAGGTCCAGATCTGTCAAGATTGCACTGTCAAGATCTTTAGAGCGTGGCCCTCTGAATTCCCATGATGCAGCACACAGTCTAATGGGGAGTTAGGCTTCCAAGAAGCTTTTTAAAAAAATTTAATTATAAAGGAATTTGGGTAATATCATGAAAATGGAGGTGCCCTACAGCCTGTTAAAGACACCTGAGATGGCCTGACAGCAACTTTGGCTTGAGTAATTCTCTGCTTCACTTAAGACATAATCAGGATGGGCTGGGCGCGATGACTCACGCCTGTAATCCCAGCCCTCTGGGGGGCTGAGGTGGGTGGATAATTTGAGGCCAGGAGTTCGAGACCAGCCTGGTCAACATGGTGAAACCCCCATCTCTACTAAAAAGACAAAAACTAGCCGGATGTGGTGGTGCAGGCCTGTAATCCCATCTACTGGGGAGGCTGAGGCAGGACAATCACTTCAACCCAGGAGGCGGAGGTTGCAGTAAGCTGAGATTGCGCCACTGCACTCCAGCCTGGGTGACAGAGCCAAAAAAAAAAGAAAGGAAAAAGAAAGACATAATGAGGATGACCGTAATACAAAGTAATTAGCCAGTAATATCCAAATGTAGAACAAATTATATTAAAAAAATTCAGCCACTGGGGATGACAGGTCTATTAAACAATAAAGAAATAAACTATTGAGAAGATTCTGGGGAGGGTTCCAGAGTCCTTTGTTAATCATTTGACACCAACTTGCCTTTCCTGCTGAGGGCTGCAGCCCATGTGGACAGGCCAGATCTCCTGACCTGGGCTACTGACCCAAAGAGGTAGCAGTGGCTGGAAGAAACAGTCCTTCTCTTCCTCCTGCCTCAGGACGCCTGAGGTAGAGTACAGGGTTCACATCCGTGGCTGTACTCCTCTACTCCTCTCCTCTACCTAGAAACAGGTCTGAACCCCTTCAATGCACTCTCTCAGGGGTCCTGTGCACTGAAAGTGGGGAAGACCCAGCCATGGCTGCTATGGACTAAGCCAACCCTCTGGAGCATCACTAGACTCTAACTCATTCAGCCTGGAGAGAAGAACAATCACAATTTGTTGAATAACAACACTGTGCTCAGCATCAGACATTTTCTTTGTTCAGCTATCCATCCTGTGCCCACACATATCTATTTGTCTTACGTCCATCCATCCTCCACCTCTGCTCAATCCATCCATCCATCCTGAACCACATATGCATTTGTCTGTCTATCTCTCCTGCATACACCAATCCATCCAACCTCCACCTCTGCATTATCCAGAGATCCTCCCATCCATGCATCCAACCATTCAGCCGTCTCTCCATCCTGCAGACCTAAATCATCTGTGCACTGGCACATGAATCAATTCATGCAAAAATCTATCCTGCAACTACCCACCCATCCATTTTCCATCACAGCATTATCCAGGCATCTGCTCATCCATCAATCCATCCAATCTATACTAGGACCTACTTCATGCAAGCACTGTGCTAAAGTCTGGGGACAGAACAGCCAATTAAGACAAAGTCCCTAGTGGAGGCCACAGATGTGTAGACAGACAATCAGAACACAATATGACATGGTGGGTTGAGTGTGCAGGTGCTCCTTCTCTTCTAGGAAGGAAAGGCTTTTGGAGCTGCCATTTATTTTTCTCTTGGTGTTTTCATATCCATGACAACTCAAAACATGGAGTTTTCTAAAACACCATTTGGCCACTCTGTTCTGGGAAGAGATCAGTACTGGGAGAAAGGAGTTTAACTTCAGAGCTAAAAAAGGATTTCAGGGCTGGAACACGCCACAGAATGATTCTGGGTGTTTCCTGAGGGACAAACCACATCTATTAATCAAGTCATGTTCACAACTTCTGAATAGCACCCATTTTCTCAAGTCCTAGGAGGACCGGTCCATGCAGGGTCCAGCTCCTACAACAGAGGGAGATAATTTGGGGTCATGAAGCCTCAGCCTTGGACTCTCCTCTCTTGGTTCTTCACACCATCTCCCTAGATGACCTTATTCAGACCCATGACCTTCAATATTAGTGTCTGCTGATGGCGCCAACGTACATACAGCTTCAGGCCAGACTTCCTTCAGCTACACCTTGAACTCTACACTTGGAGGCCTCACAGGCAACCTGAACTTAACACATGAAAAATGGAGCCCTTGGCATACTCCCCGAACCTGCCGTTGCCCTCCTCAGAATATACTATCTCTGTGTTTTTGTTTTTTTGAGACAGGTTCTCACTCTGTGGCCCAGGATGGAGTACAGTGGCATGATCTTGGCTCACTGCAGCCTCCACCTCCTGGGCTCAGGTGATCCTCTCACCTCAGCCTCCTGAGTAGCTGAAACTACAGATGTGCGCCACCACACTTGGCTAATTTAAAAAATTTTTTTTTGTACAGATGAGGTATTGCTGCATTGCCCAGGCTGGTCTCGAACTCCTGCACTCACACAATCCACCTGCCTTGGCCTCCCAAAGTCCTGAGAATACAGGTGTGAGCCAGCATGCCCAGCCAGGAAAATACTACTTTTATCCATTCAGGACCTCAAGTGCTGGAAGTCACCTGTGACTCCTCCCCTTTCCCCAGCCCCCATTTCCAATTCGCCTGTACATCCTGTCCTTCCTCAAATCTCGGCTCCATTGCTGCAACCCTAGTCTACACCACCATCGTCTCCAAGGCATAACACTTCCCAGATGGGTCCCTTTGTTCTGTTTGTGCTCTCCCACAATCCCTCAGGGGGGAGTATACTTAGAAAAACCCTTGGCTCCTTTCCATAACCTATAAGGTCCTACAGGATCTAGTCCAACATTTTTCAAAGTGGCTCCTGGGAGTCCAGGAGGTCAAACTACTTTCCTAATACTCAACGTTACTTGCTTCTTCATTTACATTCTCTCAAAAGTACACTGTTTTTCAGAGCCTATATAATGTGGGACGATGTCCTTGCTCCTGGCTACTGGAATGAGTGCTTGTACATTCATTGCATTTTAAAATCTTCTGAGTTTTCATTTATTTTATTTGTATTTAAATAGAGATGGGGTCTTGCTACATTGACCAGGCTGGTTCTGAACTCCTAGCCTCAAGCAATCCTGCCATCTTGGCCTCCCAAAGTGCTGGGATTATAGGCATGAACCACCACACCTGGCATGAGTTTTCATTTCTAATATGGTAAATATTAATAGTAAATACAAACCCCATAAATAAAAACCCTTTGGGTTCCTCAATAATTTTTAAGAGTGTAAAAAGGTCCTAAGATTTTTTTTTCAATTGAGTATCTCTGAATTAGCCCCTGCCTCCCTTTCTAACTCCATCTCAACCATTCTCTTATTCTTGGGGCTCCAGCCATTCCTGCGTCCTTCATCTTAAATATACACGTTTTTCCACCTCTGTCTATGCTGTTCCTCAAAGAGGCTTATCAAAGCCACCCCTGTCTTCCTATTCAATCACTACACCATCTTCATTTCCTCTGTAAAACTCATGACCATTGGTAATTGTTTACTTGTCATTGTCTACCTCCCCCACTGGACCGTGTCTGCCCAGGGAGCTTCTTGTCTTTATTGACCACTGTGCCAGCACAGTGCCTGGCATGTCGCAGGGACTGCAGAGACACTTCTGAATGTACACAGAAGAGGACAAGGAGGAGTCAATGATTAGGTGAAGGAGGGCATATGTGGAGGAAGCTGGCACTCGCCCCCAAGCCTCTGGGGAGGGTAGCTGTGTCACTGCTGCAGCCACGTTACCTGCTGGGGCACCTTGAAGCGGACATAGGAGCAGAGCTGAAGCATTTCGCTCATCTCTTCTGGGGTAGATGGAATCAAGGGAATCTTCTCCACGGCGGCAGAGTCCTGCAGTTCTTTGAGCCGTTGTATGAACTGATTATCAGTTGAGTACTGCAGGCCTGTGAGATTCAAACCCAAATGGTTTGACAATACATCCACCTTCTTACCAACCCCATTTTATATAGGGAACTTCCAGTAGAGCCCTGAGTTAATACATTTCAGGTTTCTTTCATGAGTAAATTTCTTTTTTGCTGGTACTGCCATCCTTGCTCAAATCAAAACCACATCGAGAAACACACAAAAAAATCCTTCCACATTTTTCAGGGACTGGTTACTCACACTGTGGTCTGTGGACCAGAAGCATTGAAAGCCTGCAAGAAATGCAGACGCTGCCCCTCCCTGAGCCTCTTGAACCAGAATTTGCATTCTCACAAGTTGCCAGGGGATTCATATGTACGATAGAATGTAAGAAGGATTAGCCTTGAAGACAACTTGCCTGAGCACATCTGATTGTTGATGGGAAATGTGAGGAAACACATGACCAGAAGAAAAAACAGGGCTGGTACGAATGACTACTCCTTCCCTTGGCCTGGACTCAGGCGGTACTTTCTTATTTGGGGTCAATGACAAAACACAGGGGAACTGGGAGTCTTCGAAGCTGTTCCTTGCTTCGGGGCAGCAACCCTGCTGCCCTCTCCAGAGTCGCTCTTCCTCTAGGAGAGCACTAGGCCACTGTTGAGAAGGATTCTCTTTGAGATTGCTCATTATCTCCCATCACCTCAGGGCATGACACCAGAGTCCACAGAAGTATGCAAGAGGGCAAAACTCATTTTCACTTCCAGCATGAAGCAAGGTTCTAGGCATTTAGCTTAGCCAAATGATTAGATTTTTTTTCACTTTAAGTTCTGGGATACACGTGCAGAAGGTGCAGGTTTGTTACATAGGTATACATGTGCCATCGTGGTTTGCTGCACCTATCAAACTGTCATCTAGGTTTTAGGCCCCACATGCATTAGGTATTTGTCCTAATGCTTTCCTTCCCCTTGACCCCCACCTCCTGACAGGTGTCGGTGTGTGATGTTCCCCTCCCTGTGTCCATGTGTTCTCATTGTTCAGCTCCCACTTATGAGTGGGAACATGCAGTGTTTGGTTTTCTGCTCCTGTGTTAGTTTGCTGAGGATGATGGCTTCCAGCCTCATCCATGTCCCTGCAAAGGACATGAACTCGTTTTTTTAAATGGCTGCATAGTATTCCATGGTGTATATGCGCCACATTTTCTTTATCCAGCCTATCACTGATGGGCATCTGGGTTGGTTCCAAGTCTTTGCTATTGTAAGCAGTGCTGTAATAAACATAAGTGTACATGTTAGATTTTTTTTTAAATTTTATATTTTTGTAGAGATGGGGTCTCCCCCAGGCTGGTCTTGAACACCTAGCCTCAAGCAGTCCTCCCCTCTTAGCCTCCCAAAGTGTTGGGATTACAGATGTGAGCTATCTCACCCAGCAAAATCTAGCAAAGAGCTAGATTTTACAAAAAAAGGCAGTAGCATCAATAATATCGGTTGTGATGCAGAAATCCACACTTTATAAATCTATGTACAGCAAACCCTTGAAATCTAACACAGGTATGATGTATGGCTTTCATGGTGCCATGAAGCAGATGACATTATCTATTTCCTCTCTTTTTATTTTATTTTTTATTTTTTTTATTTTTATTTTTATTTATTTATTTTTTTTTT